TGAAAGCGCAGGTCACGATCAAAAGGACATGTGTTGCGATTGGGAAATTTTTGTTAACGTTAACTTCGGTTGCATTTTTCGAAAAGCGTCGACCCTTCGTACAGCAACATTTGATCGTGTCGTGTTGGTGTTTGCAACGAATGCTAGCCTTAGAAAGTGCAAAAATTTTCTGCGCTCTACTTTAGATGAGTTGATGAAGAAAGAAAAAGAACTGGAAAAGTTTCGACATCAAATGGGTGAAGTGTCGAAGGGACTCCTTATCTACCCGAATCAAAGCGTTTCTGCTTCGACCTCGGTCACTCCTCCACCCACGGCTTCTCTTCATAATGGAATCGATGCGATTTCGTCCAGCATCTACTCTCCTACTTACATGTATGCCATTATTGACGTTTGCAATGCGCTCATAGACTGTTTTAGAAATTCGTTGCCTAACTACATCTTTGACGATACGGCAGTAAACGGAGATTTTTCTGGTCTGCCGTTGCTGTCCAACTCGACTCTGGGCACAATGGAAAACGGAATCAGATATTCGTCGCAACGCAGCAATATAAGTCGTTGATGCCTTCTGTTGAGTACCCGTTTTATTTGAACTTTTGCGTGATCGACGTTTTTACTTTTGCTGTTCTGTGTTTGTTATTTTGAGCAGCCTGTTGTGTGTTTTGCGTAGCATCATAAAATGCCGTCGAGCCGCTACAGCTCGGACATTTGCTTTCGATAACAAAATAACAAATACGTATCGTATTTTCATATTAATCGCTTCAGCTGTCAAGTGTATACAAGTGTATACTTGACAGCTGGAATAGCGCCCATCCTCGAAGGCTTATTGTGTTTTTTGGCGTGTCAGCTGAACTTGTTCCTACTTGACGAACAATATTGACGTGATGAAGTGTTGCGAAGTGATCTGATCTAGACAGAGTGCTGCTCTTGTTTTTAAAGATTTGCAGTTCTGTATGATTGTCTAACGAGGTGAATTTGATTTTGCCTTGTTGCTGTCATTGCTTTATGCGGTTCACTGAATAAAAGCAGCTGACGACGCCAAGCTAGAAATTTTTATTTAACTGACACAACGCGTTCCTTCCGTAACAATATGAGTCATACACAAAACTATTTCTACCACTGAATATGATTTATCACTAAGCTTCACTTTCTGTTTACACAGTAGGCAATAATGACTACGATGTCCAACTGTTGCTGAACAGCATCTGCTGTCAAAAGTAGGTGTAGTCTTGCGATGAAGTCGTTTGAAAATGACAAATTTGTTTCAGACGGTTAAATTTAATTTAACATGTTTAGGACCTTAAATTGCTGTTTACTTTCTGGCTAGTTCACTGTGCTAAATAGTGTGCAGTTCTGGCAATTTGTCGATGTATTGACAGTTAAGGATGGTTAGTTATTTGTATGTTGACGAAAGGGAGCCAAAGAAACGGTAGCAACTGCGACGTCATCCGTCGTCTCCGTTTGTCACTTGCTCTACGACGGAAGGTCTGCAGAGGTTAAAATCTTAACTGACAAAGCAGATTATCTTAGACGAACGTTGTGCATTTCATCGTGATTGCAATCATGTGTATGAAATTTTTATTCACCACCAGACCAGATTGTGAATATGTGGAAAACATTTTGTCCTGCTTTATGAATTTGGAACAGGCTAACTAAATACTGCCTTAGCTAACAATGCGAATGGTGTTGCACGAACACTGCTTTGATGGAGCTTTTCGTTTTTATACACTCTCTGTATCGGTTCATGGCAGAAAGTAAATTCGTTTCAGTGCTTCCTTTTTGCAAAGTTTATTGTCATGATCAACCGATGCAACACAGACACGGAAAATACGTTGTGTACAGTCTTGAGGATGAATCATGACTGACGATCGATAATAATCGGTTACTAGATGAAAAGTCAGTCAGGGCAAAAAAAATGTTCAATGTTTGACATTTAACTAACTTAGCCGTTGAACACAACTGTCTTTTTGGATGTGTCTATGTTGTTGCTGTTCTGACGGCTGCTGCAATCACTAGTTTAGACGGCTCTAATAAAGCGTCTGGTCGTATTCAAGTATGCTGATCACGCGTCAGGTTCAGCAAGTCTTTCTTATAACTGTTTCTTCCTCTTGCTGGCCCAGAGAGCACTTGCACATCAGTTTCACAGTGTACTACCAAGTTTTATCTTGTCCACCTTCCTCTCCATGCCACTCGTTCAACTTAATGCAAGCGATTTAATCTGGTGGACGTCAAAACACGTGGCTCAGTCACCGCACCACAGTAGTCATTCTTTCAGAAGAGTAGAGAGCTGAATGATGCTGCAACGGAAATGGATTGTCGTATTGAGGATATGGTCTATTAATCTTTTAAGGGAGATGATTCGCGTACATTGCTGGTCGAAGGATTCCAAGTTTCTCACGTCGACCCTTAGGACTCAACTCTTACATTCGCTTGAGGAAAATGCAGCGGTTGACGGCCTGCAGAACTCGACATTTCGTATTCAGACTGAGCTGTCGTCGTTTCTACAGTGGCTCGTAGAGATGGACGAGCCGATCATGCGCTGAGAGCCGATCTTGCTGCTGTTTTGTGAGCTATAATTTCATTTATATACAATCAATTGGGAAGGATGGAAGAGTTAAAGTATTTTAAGGGTTTCTTCAAGCGGAATCACACGTAGGTCAATGGCTTTTTCTCATGTTCAAAAATCCCTTGGGAGCGCATCTTCATTTATGCTGTACTGATGACTAACCCACCCCAGTGTTTCAGCCGTCATGATTTCATTTAACGGAATATAACTCGTCATGGTTCGATGCCATTGCGACGATGTCGCCTGCGATGTAATGATCATGATCAACTTCGACGCCGGATACTCTTTCAGGGCTGTTCACATTTAACAATCAAGGATTAAGTTGAATAGGCCAGGGAAGAGTACGTGGCCCCAACGGATGCCACAAACAATATCTGAAATATCCGTCATTTTGTCGTAGGTCCGGGTTGTTGTTCTGTTTTGCAGCTGTATTCTTTAATTATGTTCACAAATATGTGGCGAATATGACCTATTCCCACAAGGAGTCTCTATGAACCGAATCGACCGCTGCTAAAGAATCTACGAAGCGCACAACAGTGGGTTGCTAGAAACGGTAACGGTGTTCCAAAGTGAGGCATACCATGAATATCTGGTCTACGAAGCTGCTTCAAAAATGGAAGTCAATTTGATTTGGTTTTGCGCAATCCTCAGAAATGTCTTGGCACCTCCGAAGTAATAATGTGGCGAAGAATCTTTGGTCCAGGCGAATCCCACGATAGTTTTGACTGAGAGGTCTGTCATGTTTGCGATGGACGGAAGCAACCGTTCTTCTGAACAATCATTTCAAAACAATTCTTCAAGTAGTCGAAGGTTTCAGGCCGACGTTTCTGAGAAAGAACTGCCGACAAGCTATCATAACCATGGCTTTTATTTCGCCTCAGCGACCTGGTAAGGTTCTCTATTTCCGCTGTTGAGGCAGGTCCAAAAGAGGAGAGGTATTGCTCGAAAAACTATCTTCAAGGCCGCATAATGGTGTGAGACTTCTGAAGATGGAATTTTGAGAAGGATTCCAGCTTTCCAAGGTAGGACCCAAAATTTCGGGTCAGCTGTTGACCGCGCCGATTTCTGAATTAGATGATAAATCTTCTTTGTGTTCCCTATTCCATACACCGATTACGTGCTCCATTGCATTGGTTACTTCTTCCTATTGCTCATTCCTGACTCAGCTACTAACAGATCTGTATCCTTGTCGCCAAAGAAATCGAAGTCATTCCTTCCTTCGATTTGAGTATCAGCGCCTAACTCCATAGGCTGACTGTACGTGTAGTGATTGAATCGTTTTAGCGGTTTCTAGTTTAACCAACAATGCTAGTAGAGGAATGAGTCAAGATCTGCTTCGGCCATGACCATCTTTTCGGCTGTGGCTGTTGAAAGACGATGCTATGCATCCTGTTCAAACGTCTGAACCATAAATTTAGTTTCGAGTGGTCGACAAGCTTGATGGGGAGACAATTCAGCTTCTTTGGAAACTTGGAAGGAATTTTCCTACGAATCAGAATATCATCGAGGCCGGGCGTGTGTATCACTTAAAATCTGAACCAGAGCATTTTTCTGCTGTACAGATCACGGCTGTCCCGTTTTGCACAAGAAAAGAAAGGAAAGTTTAGCGTAATTGGAATCTCAGTATTCCTTTACTTTCATGATTGGGTGATTTTGGCGCCCTTCTTTTCATAAAGTTGAGAATGCGGTAGTGATTTCCGTTTCCATGCCATCAGTTGTGTCCATTTATTACCCTCGGATGGAAGAAGAGTGAGTGATCTTAACCGGGACTTGAACTCAGGACCTATCAGTACCGAATTGAAAATTCTATCGACTGAGCAACCTACGTTTGAGAACACAATGGATTTTGCACGAAGGACCATATAAGCAGTCTCATTGGCCGTTTTACTGTGGTTCGAGTACGACGTCATTGATGTTTTCATGACAGTGGAGCCGAACGTTTGACACACTCAGCGTTTACTCTTTAGTGAAGCGGAGCAACCCATCACTTTCATGGCAAGTCCTTAACAATCGAGGGCCTGCTTGGTGGTGTCATCCCGACAACCCACCTTCCCACGCAACTTGCTGCACCACGATATGGACACTTTTGGTACGTTATTCATCACAGTTTGTAGATAGGCATTAAGCACATCTTTCACAGCATTGTCTGCGTTCATCGTGGACGTGTTGATGCTAATGATGAATAAATTAAAAATAGTTCTCCTCAGGCGCGCATAACCAGGACGCAAGTTGATAACTCATAACCATCAGAAAAGAGCGGCACGCGCTTTGTCAGAGAGTGCCATGACTCCAGCGT